AACCATCTTAAGAACTATAAACAGATCTACTCCACCACTTTCATTCAGAATCGTTTTCTTTTTTAGAGCAATGGTACATTGATTTCAAGTTTAAAAGACCAACACAGCAAAACCATGTACCTAATCTTGTATCTCAGCCAACCTAGGATTTTCAAATGATTTTGAACGTTTTTGTGCATAAATACGTGTATATTGAACAATTATTTTTACATAAAAATTTGATCCTCAAATATAAGAGTAATTTATTTAATATCATTAGTCTGCGATTAACATTGCCGTGGTGGTAATAATGTCGTTGGTGCATAATGATAACGGTTATTTATTTTTATTTTTAACACTTAACAAACCAATTAGACACTTAGTCGCCAAAAATACTTACTTCCTTCCGCCGATCACTACTATTGCCCGATCCCAGTCGACTCCATTTCCTGACAATAACTCCTTGATGCCGTCCTTGCACCTTTTCCGTGATCATCCCCTTGGTCTCTTTTCTCTCACCATACAGGTCAATGCTCGTTTTTTATTACATTTAACGTTAAATAATAATATTATACCGTAAACTGCATCCTTTGGGGTCAAGAATTGTTTGAACGTTGTTCTCAGCGCGCGCATACATGTCGTCCGGTTCTTCATTTACGCGGACCGCGGTGTGCTCTTTACCGGATTCGCGTACCGTTTTCGTGTCAAGCACAAGTGAACCCTATTCACGTTGTTGCCGTATCTCGTCCGTCCCCGCATCGTCCCATTTAGTATACGTTCGTACGTTCTCCGTACCGTCACGCCGGTTGTTTGTCGGGTTATGACCGGCTGACGCGACAGCGATTCCCTTGCGACCTGACCGGCGGCGGTACGAATCGCGTGGATTAGTTCCCGGCACGCTGCTACCAGAGCGGTAAACACTGTACCGTTTGTCGTCCACGGGTTCACAATTTCCCCCTCGGCCTCAGACGTGGTACCTACCCGGATCATATTTACCGTTAGACAGGGATAGACTCCTGCCCATGGCATCCGTTATTTGGGGCCTCAGATTTTTCCATCGTATAAAATAAATACACGCAAAATAATTGTAATTAGGTATTAAAAAAAAAAAAAAAAAAAATAAATAGTTTAAACAAATACAGTATAATGACCTATGAGTATGGTCGGAAATCGTCGATAAATTGAGTGATATCAGTATTGTAGAAAGTAGTAAGTTTTAGAAAGTAGTCGGCATATTTCTATATTTTTATCCCACTCCCCCACCTCATCAATGACGACTCTCATCCAACACTATAATTTTATAATTACTATGGTTTTTATACCATGCAATTTCGCATATTTATGATGCTGTCACAGACGACCACCGTTAATTTATCGTTTATTTATTATTATTATTATAAATTATATTTTAATAAATATTAATAAAATTATTTTAAAAAACTGGAAATATATTTTTAAACTTTGTGGTAGTTGGGGAGAAGTGAAGGATGAACTCCTAAATCCTCTATTACCTAACCTGCCCGAAAAATGATTTAGCCCCTCCCATTTAAAAATCCTAACTATACCACTGTCACGAAGATTATCTCTAGGTATACGCGTTAACCTAATATTTTTAAACCACATCTGGCTACGATATAAAATCGAGCCGTAATTTATTCGTATACCGTGCATTGTTTCGGTCGATAAACGGTTTGAATTCATTTTTCATGCGACAAAAACACAAAACGTGATTATATTTTTATTTTTGGTGAATGTTATATTGATTAAATTATTTATTACCAAGAGCGAGTATACAAAGAGTACATCTTTTAGGATAAAATACTATGTGTGGTTGTGTTAGAAACGTTTAAGAAGTAACACATTGGACTAGAACAAGGTAGAGAAATATGTTATGTAAAACTATTTATTTTTCGAAAATTTTAATCAAATAAAGCGTATGAAAATGTGAAAAAGTTATTACATTTATAATAAGGTTGTTCAACGACAGAAACAAAAACACTGTACGCTTTTTTAACAATAATTTTTCTCTGTATTGGAATACAGTGACAGTATAAAATAATATCATAAAAAATTCACATCTAAGAGAAAAATAAACCTCCAGTTCATTTCACACACGAAAGCAGACTATTCAAGTCGAAACGATTTTTCTTTTTCATAACTATCATTTACAAGTATATATAGAGTTTATTCAAATGAAAACTTGTCACAATGTTATACTTTAACAAATATTTCAGAAAAGCTTGTTTATTATCAAATAAGTTAATATAATTATTCGTATATAATATAAAGGTACATGTATATATATAAACTAATTTAATTAAACTACCGTATTAGTGATTTTTTGAGTAATATATTACGAAACAATAATTTATAACTATATTACATTTAAGACTACTATTTTATAATCCAATACTATCTCGAAATATCAATGAGATTAAATAATATTTAGATTCAAAATACCATTTACTTGATGAAAATATTCAAAAATGTATAAGTATTACCTTTTTTTTTCTTTAGTTTAAATTCAAAATTTCATAAGAAAAGATTAATATTTAATTTCAATCCGATCAAAACTAATATTATTATCACTAATCAAGTACAGTAGGCTTTGAACACTACTAACTACGAACATTTATAATAAATTAAATTAAATTATAAATATTTATTAATGTAATTTTTACATTTTGTTATTATAATTTAGGTTTAATCTGTAAATATTAATGAATTTTTATAATAAAAAAAAAAAATTAATAATTTGATCAACTTCATATTAAAAATGTTTTCTTCGAAGTATAATTTATATAATAAATTAAGATATTTTTTAAATAAGTTAGTACACTCTACATAATTGTATACAAATAAACCATGTACAATATATTATAATGGTTATTTAATCAAATATATTACAGGAAGTTTGCTCCATTAAAAAATAAAGATTTTTGGAACATTTTGTACTTGAACACTTTTTATGCAAAATTATTAATTTTAAAAGTGTTTACTACGGCAGAAAGTCAAACACTATCATGAATAGCTTTTAAGCTGAAATTATTATAAGTTTTTCGATGTTTCTGTTGATAAAAATGTTAACACCGAAAATTGGAAACTTATAATTTTATAAAATGTATTCGTATTGAAATTTTATATCATTGATAGTAGTAAAATAATAATTGACATCATCAATAAGTAAAATTGAATTGTAATTTATATACTTAATCATCGATAGTAAAATATGAACATTGCCAATAGTATTAACACATTATGTTCATATTTTCAATATTTTATTTTATTTTCACAAATTTAAAAAATAAAAATACATACACTTATTCGTATAGACACTTATTTTCAATTTAGCTATTTAAAACATACAATTTTTTCAATGTTTACATTAATATTTCATGAACATAAATCGCAAACATACCAGTTTGGTATAATAACTTTTGCCACAAAAACCGTGATATAACTTAGTTCATTTGATTCGTAGATTATAACGTAATTTAATAGTGTTTTAAATCGATGGCGATCGAAAAATTTCAAGCTTTTTTGGGCGATTTATGTACGTTGGTAACAAAAATATAAATTCATCCAAATAACAGGTTTTGATAAATATATATATGCACACGAATGATTTTCTGAACAGTTAAAGTGAGCGTTCATTCAGAATATAATTATACGAAGTCTGGGGTAAAAAACTTCTCTGATCCCGTAAATGTATTTCATTCATGACAGTACAAAGGAAAATCGAGTACACATAAACAGTTTAAATTGTATTGTTCGTGTAAATGAACTAAAGTTTAAGAAAATATCACTCCAAACAGTCTTAACATTTTCCGTAATAAACATTACGTAAATCAAATATTCCTTTGAATCCATAAAAGTTTATCGAGCAAACAAAAAATAAAAATAAAAAAATTTTACAGTTTCTGTAACATGTTTTCCGTTTTCATAATCGAATACTTCCCAATGTATATGTTATCAACACGATCCGAATTATGACTTTCTTCCAGTTTGCCGTTCGATATTGCAAAAATTCTCGAGTTTATCTACGCAAGTTCCTATTTTTCTTTAAGTGTTCAAGTCCTCGTCCGGAAACACTGGAATTGGTAAATTAAAAACGCACACGACCAACGTTCCCGGTAAGAAAACCGGTAAAATTGTCGTACTCGGAGTAGGTTATCACTCGAACCAACGTCGCGCGCCGCAGTATACCAGGTTCCCGGAACATGGTTCTGCGACTACCGTAATCGCTTACGGTTACGTTACGTTTTGTTGTTTATCGTTCAAAAAAAAAAAAAAAAAAAAAATAACGACCGACGACGACGAAAAATCGATTTCCGCGTTACGATTTTCCGCACGCCTCCGACGGCCGTCTGGAAAATCTAGACGACACCTATTCGACGAATCGCTTACGCCGTGTGCGAGAACGGGCGAGACACATTTCGGCCAAAAGAAACCTTTGCCTTCCCGGCCAGTACACTATTTCCGTCATCAATCAAAAATATTCTTCGCGGTTTATTCTGTTTAAACTATACCAACTATTTTTTTTTTTTTTTTGTATAATAATCGTATCAATAATAAAAAATATTGAGTTACAACATTACGTTATCAATTTACACAGTTTAAATAAAATAAAACTAGGAAAATGTAATTGTTTCGACAAGTGTGGCACAAGCACACATATCCTCCATGTCAAGACCGAGTGATCACTTAAGAGTGATTACTGATTATATTACGGGGAAACCAATACGTTGACGGTCGATAAAAGTAATAACTACCAACTATCTAGGCGTATGGAATATCTTTCACCGTTATCTTGGTTCTGTACATTAAACTCATATTAGCGATTTTCTATCGGTGTGTGTGTGTGTGTGTGTGTGTACGTGCTACGGTCTGCGGCGCGGCGTTTTCGTATAATGGTCCGGTGTGCACTTGGGTCCGTTTTGTTTTCCTCGTATTTCGTTGCTGCGCCCGCGTGAACGATATGCGACGTGTACAATAATCGGTTCCGTTTCCGCGTGTTTCAGGTGTTGCACATCATATCCAGCAGCATCAAAGAGATACTCGACTACTCGGTGGCCAACCTGCTGGTGCTGTTCACCAATTTCTTCATCATCGTCAGTTACCCGATCAACTTCGCCATCTACTGCGGCATGTCCAGACAGTTCCGGGAAACGTTCAAAGAGCTGTTCATCAGGGGCTCGGTGCAGATAAACCGCAAGCACGGGGCCGGCGGCAGTTCGCGTTACTCGTTAGTCAACGGGCCCCGGACGTGCACCAACGAGTCGCTTTTGTAAGAGCCTCCGCGGAACGGTGGAGACGCTATTCGGTGCGCGCGCGTCGTTTCGAAACGCCCGGCCGGGGGGCTACCCCCGTCACGTCGTCGCGATCACGTGACCGATTTGCACGCGAATAGCGTATGCGTTCCGACCTGTAAGGATGACCGCGGCTTGGGTTAGCAACCAAAGCGCGCGGGGGTCGGTTGTTACTGGTAAATAAAAAAAAATAATTCGTTCACGTGGCGCGAACGACTAGAACCGGAAAAATTCTACTGCAAGAACGTCGTCAAATAACGTCGATTGTCGTTATCGGCACAAAATCATGTTCACAGGTTAACTCGTTGGCCTACTCGCGCGCGCTATGTCGATCGATTGTGCATAAAATTGTAAATATTCTCCTCCCCACCCTCCACTCGCGATTATCTTAGTTAGATATTGTGTCGACCCGATCTCGGTCGACCGTTTCGATATATTATCTGTAAAAATACACCTTTAATTGTATGCGTTTAAAATTAAAATTAACCAATAAGTCGAATGTCTACAAGTAACCAATTGAATTTCGCGCAGCTACAGAAAACGGTTTTACTGTTCGTTTCTTCGTCGTTTAATCTCTTGGACCATGTTATTAATTCGAAATTTATATCAACCATATTATCAGTCAGTAACAATTTAAAACGGTTAAAAATCGTGCGAAATCGATGATTACATAATCATGTATTTCTTTATAAAATTAAATATATTTTCCTTTTTTTAGGATTGCGTTTATCTTTCCCATTTTTATTTTTACAAGCTATTTTCAAATGTTGACACAATATTAGTTATTTATTGTCTTATATTTTTTCTGGTTCAAGATATGAGAATAAAAAATAACATTATTACGTGAAATCAATTATCTTCGAATTAATTAATATTTTTCAAACGATATTATGTATTTGTTCTTCATTCATTTTTTTACAATTACATATACATATTGGAGAAAATCAATTACAAATTTAAATCAAACACAAACATTTGATTTTTTAATCTTAATATAATTTAAATTATAAGTATAAATTGCAAAAATATCTAATTCGCTTACAATCAATTAAATGTAATCATTTATTATTTATTATTATTGTATTATTCAATGTAAGTAGTGTGAAATCGGTACTTGTTTTATTATTTTCAGTGGTCGATTATTCAAACACGTTTGACTTTTTTCGAGGTGTACAATTGAACAAAATAGTAAAGTACCGATAAAATTTAACTTTCAAACCAAAAAATACCAACGATACAATCAAACATATTAACTACGTACTTTAACGCAACAGTTACGTTCTACTTGTGTATAAAACCCGTTCGGAGTAAACGTTGAAAAGGTTAGGTTCATGAGATTATATTCAGCAGGAACCCACTTAGCTCGAGACAAATTTATATACGAATAAAGATCCGACGGGATTAAATGCATTTTGTAAAAGAGCATGGTAAGATAACTTTAAATTTATTACGTAAAAACAAACCGTTTGCATGTTGATTGCATTCGAAAACAAAATATTAAAAAAAAAAAAAAATTAAATTTTTATCAATCGCATTATTTTTCAACATCATTCTTTTATTTTAATAATTGTTTTAAAACCATCTAGAAATATTACCGAAACTGAAATTTAAAACTATATCCATATTCTCTTCAACTTGATGTAAGATAATACGAGAAAATACTTATTATTTTAAAAAGCATTCTTGATTTTGAATTTTCTCAGTAAATTTTAAAAATCACCATTTACAACAACTACAACTAATCAAATAAGTATAATGTAATGCATCAAAATCCTGTGAAGTATCTCACTGTGCTACTCTTCTCCACTTATCAAAATGTTAACTATATTATAATATATATACTACTAATTTAAAATTGGATTTTAAATGATGAATTTTATATGAAAATATACACTTTGGGATTATAATATTACGAATAAACACCGTCACCACCTAAGGTAAATAGAAGAGGCCTCAAAATATATTATGATAAAAAAAAGTAAAGATGATTTTTTTTTTTTTTCTAAAATCTAAATTAACCTGAAAAAACGAACGTCCAGCGTTAGAACAATTATCGTGCACTTAAATTAACGAAATTATTTTGACAAAACATTTTGTGCACCCTCTGCATGCACCTAAAACTCCTCCACGCAACGTTACACACACATAGTTATGATCACAATAGTGTTATGTTAATACGATAAACCATGTTATAACGAGAAAACGATTGCCCTGATTTTTCGCTCAGAATAAACTCTGTTTTACGCCGATTCACACATTAATTAATACCCAACTCCTTCACAGTGTATATCCGATTAAACTAAACGGCCGAACGAAATATTTTAATATAAAATTCTTCATCAAAGTCGTATTATACATCTACATATATATTATTATATATTATTCTTCGTCGCCATTCTAAAAGCCTATATAAGAGCTCGAACTATTTCCCATTGATTGACGTTTATTTGATTTTCAAGGATTACAAATCCTGTATCCCGCTTTCAATTTATCGAGCGTAAATAAAGTAGATACTTTTTTATAAAACCGTATACTATAGACTTTTTTTAATATTCAAACATTTCACTGACAGTTTCGTATTTAATCACCGACCACTATCAAGCAGTTCATGGATCAGTATTACAAATTTAAAATCTAGAATATTTTGCATACTAAAAACACAAGTAATATTTTAAGACAATGCGTATGTTTTGTTTAATTGTGCACCTATGTGATTTAGTATGGTAATATCATAAACACCGTTTTATAAAATAAAATGCCATAACACGAATAATCACCTAAATTATAATAGATGATTGGTTGTACTTATTCGCTAAATGTATTAATTACTATGGAAAAAATGTAAAACACGACAGATTGAACAATTATTGTTTCTTAGTAATATCAACATTAATCATTCATAAAATCTAAAACGTACACTGATGTATTCACGGGACACGAGTATAACATAAAACCGGTAGTGGATTTAAAAAGAATGACGTAAAAATCTTATCTTAGATTTGCCGATAATGATTCATGATTAATCATGACCATTTAAGTCCAGCGATTGTGTAAATGTCTAATCTAATGCTCATTAGCAAAAATAATGCACAATAGGGATTATTCTCGTATCTCCACCTATATCTATCGTCCAATCTATATAAATCACTATTTTTAAACGATAAAAAATTTTGTTTTCTTGAAAATTCATTGTAAAAATTGTTTTCAAATTCTATTTGAAAAAATATCTTCACTCAAAATCATAATTATAATTAAAAGGAGGAAGTCTAGTATATCATAAACTTATAATCGAACTCATTATATCCCTAAATTGTGTACTTAATATGTTTATTGTAGCATTCAGATTCCAATAAAAATAACAATCAATAACTCTAGTCAACATTTATCTTATTAAATCCATGTTTAATAACTTAGATGATTATTTGTCAAAGGAATTTCGGAGAACTTTTAAGTTTAAAATAACATCTGGTGATAAATTATTTAAACGTTCTTAAATTAGTAAATCAAAATTGACGTACATAAATCACTGTAGGATATAAAGTATACTAATTTATGATGAAAAAAATATATTTACTCTTTAAATAAGTTGAATTCGATAAATAGCCTGATTCGTTACAACTAAGTCACGATTTTGATTACATCCACTACTGAATAAAATGTTAAAATAAATTAAAAATAATAGATAAATAAATCATAAATTATGGTTTAAAATATCGGTCACGTTTGTAAAATAATAGATTATGGTTGATTAAAATGTGTGTTTTGAACTAATAAATATAGCTTTAAGCATAATTTATACAATATATATTTGTATAAACATTTTAAACTAGATTTTTAGTGGAAAATACCAATGGTTTATCTTAAAAATGATATTTTCAAGTACACATCACGTTTACATTTAAAATATAAATATATACTTTTGATGATATTTTATGTTCAAAAATAAGATAAATAAATGCATTCATAATAGATGAGATCTCTTCAACTGTAACTAAATTAAAGAGAGACTTCGGCATATAAGGTTGTATACTCATATATAACCAAACTGGTTAAATAATGTAATTTTTTTTTATTACATAGTATAAACAATTTTCTTCTAAACTTCAGTTCACATTCTTTCTTTTTATTATTTTTCCTTTTATCGTAGTTATTTTGTCTGTAAAATTTTAGAACCCAAGAACTATCTTTATTACAGCATATAAGAACACATCTTCAACTTTTTGTAGTAGACCGTAAAAATGTTTTATTATTTATTTTTACACTAACAGAACATCTCTTAATAATAAAATCATTCCTAGAAGTTTTTTTAAACTTAATAATTTTAATACAAATATTATCTCCCAAAACAAATATAACATATAAATATATTTCCCAGAGTTGGAAAAACAAATATTATATATTATAATCATAAAACTTGATACTGATATAAACAAATACCAATGACACTTTACATCTAAAAGTATCATACTAAAAACCGATTATAAATATGTGAATATCTAAAAAATTTAAAAATAAAAATACATACATAATAAATAAATAAAGTAACATAATAATGAATCATAATTAATCATAAATAATATAAAATTAGGCGTGGATCCAGGGGGGGGCGATAGCCCTATCAAAATGTATAACCGTATCAAAATGTGTTGTATCTAATTTGTTATACTATTAAATTACATTATTTTGTGTTATACCATTCTAATGTATTGTTAATTGTTATTGTCACAAATTTTCGACTTTTATTTTTATAACATAAATATATGAAGTGTCGATAACAACAATATTATTGCGACCGTATGAGCGACGACAACCACCAGCCGGCCAGCCCAACCGACTCATAGAGTTTTGTTCTAAAAATAGTATGAGATTCCATGTTTATTTTGTTTACAGATATTAAAATCTTCCTTATTCCTGACTTCCTGAAATATACATAATTATAACACAGATATCAGTTTATTTCTAGCAGTACCTATAATAGTAATAATTTTTGTATTGACTGTTGACATTAGATTAGACATTCTTTAGTCTTTAGTTTGACAACCGTAGATATTCACCCGTACTTTTATTACGTATAATTTCCTTAGTAATCGAAATTATATTTCTCGTAATACGCCGTTAAAAGTGACCGCGATTTATTCTTTTAATTTAATTGGTGACGTTTGTATTATAGTTGTAATTTGTTATACTGTAATTATTTCATTTTATTCGTTTATTGAACAAAAAAATAATGTCTAAGAGGAAAAATGTCGATATTACACATTTTTTTTAAAAAAAAAGTGCAACTAGTGCTAGTACTGTGGAAAATGATGATCGAAAAACTGAGGAAAATAAAAATAATAATAATAATATAATATAATATACTAGTATTTAGCAGTAGGTATCTAAATATGTATACTTATTTATAATCCGCCCCCCCCCAACGTTAAGGTAGGCTGGATCCGCGCCTGTATGAAATAATATAATACTTTATAATAGAAATAAATAATAAGATCTTTATTATAATTTCAAAAATAGTAAATCATGTTATAAAAAAGTTGAAAATACATCTAATTTTCTACAGATGGTCTATTGCATGTCTATCATAATTAAAATGTATTAATGTTTTAATATTATCTTAATTTACTATCGTAAAAAACTTAACATTTTTAAGTTTGATTATGACGCGTGTTTTCATAGATTAAAAATACAAAACATTATGTTATTTTTTTAA